CCAGAAATGCTCACAACCTCAAGTATTTTATCATGCATAGATTGTGGATCAAAATTATCATAAGTTTCATCTTCATTTTGCCACAAATCTACACCGCCCATGTAGCTTCCAATATTCGCAACAAGTACACCTTCGGCATCCTGAAAATGTGTCTAAAAATTAGAAATTGTCCAGCACTGATAATCTCATAATTAGTCAATCATGATATATCCAGACAGCCAAAGCTCAAGCAATATGGTGATGATTTCTGAATCAGCAACTAAAGTGTTGTGTCTTTATGGTTAAAATCTTTTCATACTCACCTCAGGGACCTCTATCTCAACACCATCTACTTCAACTCGAACTTGCCAAGGAAAATCCACAAATGTTCTATCCATTATACCCTTAGCACCTTCTCTTGCATAAAGGACTTTATTCATGAACTGCAGGTATATAACAATTGCAACAACATAACTGATGTCAACAGCTTAAGTAGGAAATCTCAAAGTAAAATCCAAATAAAACTACTAACAAACAACAATTGCAGCAAGAAGCAGCAGACAGATTTAAAATGCGATCCACACAGGTTGAAGTATGATATCAACTTTAATTCCATTCCGATTTATAAGTTACAACCACATTTGATCTTGGACTCCAATAGTACACTAGCCTCTGCTCCATAGCTCCCCTATTACTACTAAACTCAAGAACCGATCCACCAGAGTCTAATGCCTGGTACAGTGTAAGGGAGATTGATTTGAATTAAGGTTTGGTATTACCTGATTATAAAACTTCTCTGGATTCTCCTCCCGTAGATTATGAATGTCCAGAGCAACCTTTGCATCACACCCAATTCCTGCAAATGAAGCATGCCAGAGTTGGTTATGAATGCGAAGACAAATGAGAGCCCAGTCAACGTGATGTAGGGCATAAATAAAGAGGCACAGAAGTAATAATAATCCCCATGCAGTTAGTACAAAGTATAAGTTGTTAAATCTCAAAAGTATATTAGCCAAACTGACTCATCAAACAACCAAAATAGCCATTGGTTCATTGTAGACTGTTTTAGAATATCCGCCGAATAAACTCCAACACAGACCATGTCCAGGCAAATTTCTTTTTTTTGTTTTTCCTTTTTTTCTTACAGAAGAAATCCAATTAACAGTAACAGTATGTTATTTATACGGACTGAAAAATCAGAAGACAATAAAGATGTAAAGCCAAACCAATTGGCAATATTTTTCATAATAAACAACAAACCACTTGATAACTGACCCAATACAACCAAATAAGACTAGGGGCACAAAACTAATGTGAGCTGATTTGAGAACTTTGTTGGAGCCATAACTCAAGTCAATAACTATAGACATACTAAGAACCTGAGAACCAGAAAAATCCAACCAAAATCCAGCACTCCAACTAACTACCCTGAGTTATTTCATTTATAAACCAGACGATCACAAGGTAATATGATTACTTACCGAGATAGTTGTTCATAAACTTTGGCGATTGGAGCTGCTTCCCTGGTTGATTTACAATTGCTACCTTCCAACGATCAAGAATGGTTACTGCAGCATGCTCTATGTGGTGCAAAACTGTGCAAAGGCCTCCTTGTCTCTCCACTGAGCCCAAACCACCTCCCCATGACAAAACTCTAGCCAGATCATTCCCTGTTCCGGCAGGTAGAATAGCAACTGGAGGAGGAGACACAAAGTTTTGCTTTTCTATGGCATTCAGAACCCAACCAACAGTACCATCTCCCCCACAAACAAGAACTCTGAAGTGCGGCACCTTTCTGAATAAATAAAGACCCGCTTCTGGTCCTTGTGTTGAGCTCAGCTCAAAAACCTACATGAAACACAAGCACATGCAACAATTAAGCAACAATATATGATATATCAGAAATATTAACCAAACTCCATAGAAATCAACTGAGGAGAGAGCCCAGCATGTGATGTTGATAACCATCAAAAATTAGAATTTACTGTTAGGACTTCCTGTTTCGCTAAGGGGCTAAACTAGTAAATCTTAATTTTTCAAACCCATGGACATTTAAACCTTAAGCCTTAGTAATAACCTTACTTGGCTCATTTGAAAAGAAAAGAAGGGAAATCTTTTTTACACATTACAGAAATTTAAACCTTAAACCTTACTTAAAGACCTCACTGGGCTAAACAAATGAAGGCAAATATATTTTTCCAATTAATCAAGATGGTAAAGAAATCAAACCTGAACAGGATTGAGAAGAATATTCAACCGTTGCCTCAGTGAATTCCCACGCTGAGCCCCACTCTTCTTGTTGATAAAAACTAACAAGGGTCTTGCATCTGGTGACAAATCAATCAACTCGTATTTTTGTTTCATCCCTAAAACCTGAGACTCATCCTTCTTACTGCTTGAGGAGCTCCTTTTGAGACTAGGCTTAGAATCCAATTTCCTATCTACATCACCATCTTGGTGCTGCAAATCCACATTCAAAGTACCATTACGGTTTTCCTCAATTTCATGAGAACCATTAACAGCTTGATGAGTATCAGCTGTGCTTTCTGTGGACATATCCCCAGTACCACCACTATTTCCCGTATCAACAGAGGTTTCATTTCCATGCTTGGACTTCTTGCTCTGACTCCTAATAGTTGCACGTACTGAAGAGGCTATCTCATTGGCCCCCTGAGTAATGGAGCTCAAAAATCCACCAGCGGAAGTCTGGTTCGATTCCTTTACATGAAGAGGGGATAGAATCAACCTTCTGTATGGACCTAAATCACAAATATCACCTGTTTCATTGGACAAGCTACTATGGCAATCAACATGTACCAGTCTTTGACACCACAAGCAGCACCATATTGGGGATCCACCAAGAAAAGACCCACTACATGGCTCTTCACAATAGCTGCAGAAAGAAGTTTCATCGGGTTGATCTGTTACCTCATTCCAACGGACAGCCCATTGGTGCATCACATGCTCATATCCCATCATGGATACACACTTGCAATCCTTGTGGGCACTAGAAGAGCAGCTTAGGTGAGCCGCTGCACCACAAATACTGCAACGGTGACTAAAACTGTCTGAAGCTGTCATAGGTCCGAGAGTTTGAGAAGGGCTCATGGACTTTAAGCATACACAGCAATTCAAATTCTTTCCACGAGATACCGATTCTAAAACCCAAGTATGAGGAGCTATAGGAACTTTGTGACGTGCCTTGGGATTTTTCTTTGACCTGGCTATTGCTTTCATCCAACTTAGATTGATATTTCTCCTCCATTGGAATGCAGAGTAGGCTATAGTCAAAATTCCAACTAGAGCAGCGATAAGGCAAGAGACAATAAAAAGGCGATCCGTGGGATTCTTGTTGTTCCAATTGGAGAAAAAAATATCAATGTCACCATCATCATCCATCCTCAATGACTACTTCTTTGATCTACATGCACATAAGCATCAAATTGCCCAATCCCAGTTTAATTAGCCTCAAACTCATATATCCTCCAATATGGTTTCATCATTCTATAACATTATCAAAAGCCTTAAACTCATTTGCGGACCCAACTCAATTCATAATGTGCAACAGAGTGTCGAACAATGCTTTTGATAGGTGCTACTCACTGTAACCGCTTCAACCTATAAACAACCGAAAACGTTTCACAAGTAAAGCAAATATCATTCCAAATATTTCTACAAAGCACTTGCTACCATGAGTGGTAGTTTCATATCAATAATCAGAGGTAAAAGCAAGATACAAAATACATGTAACATGAAGGAAATACAAATTCCACAGTTCTATCATAATGTAGTGATATTTTTAATTTAAATGACAGTCCTGTGGGAAAGAAAAAAAAAAAAAAAAAAAAAAAACACCTCCATCTTTAGAGACCAAAGCAACACACAACCTTCACGCCACACAAAACCAGCTTCATACTGCACTTTCTATTCCAATTTCTCGGAAACCAAACGGAATAGTCTAAAAGCAAAACATAACATACGTACATACATTCTAATATGTAACTACGAATACATATGTATCAGTATGTCTCGATTTTGAAATAATAATCAATAAAGACATTGAACCGTGAAGATTTCGGAAATTAAAAGTGAAAGGATTAAATTTTTTGAAAAAAAAAAAAAAACAACGGAACTTACAGTGACGTTCCGTGGAGATGGAGATGGATCGCGCCGATCAGAGAAAACCCTAGCCTTAGCTTGATCCACGCTGAGAGGGAAAGTTCAGAGTGTAGGAATCGAAGCAAAACCCAAATCCAGGGAAAGGCTTTTCCACTTCTTATTTAATTTTTTATTTTTGATATTTTTTGGGTTTCTTGAGCTCTAATTTGTATTAGTTTTAAGATTCTGATGCAAAGTGGTAGTCGAGTCTAGATGGCGCGTAGAGATACGAATCTATTTGTCGAGGCCCCACGTGGCCAAAGCAGAGGGTATGAGGTGGAGCGCTATTTGCGGGTCCCACTGCCAGAATACATGACAGCTCCCCTTTGCTTCGGACTTTTGTGGGCCGACAAACATATATATTGAATTGAGAAAAAAAATTAAGATTAACACATTAATCGTTAAGCTTATCAAAACTTTTATCATTAGAGCAACTTCAATATCAATTTTAAATTTGATAGCTTATGTCAAGTATTTCTCATAAAATAGTTGGACTAATTTTTCAGGGTTTAGAATTTGCTCTAAATTAATCCATTTTACAAAGAGTACTCCAATTTAAGTGCAAGAAGGCGAACTCACTGTCTTAATGAACTGGCCAAATCCGTATCTGCCAAAAGTAGACTAATTTAATTATACAAACAGAAAAAAATGAAAAAAACGCTAATTTTTGACAAGCCGCGTCAAGCAATCAAAGAGCTCAGTTAATATTTGGATGATTTTTCTACAAAATGCTGCTGCGTTTTATGACTAGGCTGCTCTTGCCCTATAATTTAAATGCAGGGAAATTCCGGATAAGCTTAAATTCAATGGGCATGGAGCCAAAATACATAGGGCCATCATTGTGTAGAAGTAAGAGAGTAGGATTGGGCTTCAAGAACAAAACTTCAATTAAGAAAAGCCGAAGTCAACAAAGTAGCACATGGAAATTAAATTGAATAACAAAGGAAGCCATGTTCATGGTAAAAGTGACAGGCACAACATAAAATATCAAAATCCTTCCTATATCTGCTCTCAATCAAACTTTAACTGCAAAAAGTATATAACTATTTTGCATCAATAATCAAAGACTTTCAAGTAAATCTCTTAGATTGCAACAGCAATCCGTCCAGCAACTTGGTCGAGATCCCGCTGGCCATTGGATGTGATTTTCCTTCCACTAAAACACAGGAACACAATTAGTTCAATAGCCAAAAACTTTAACTCATGTTGTTGTTGTTTGTCATAATCACAGCCCTACCCCCGAAATTTATATACGACACTGATGAAAGAAACTCACCCTTTGGAGTCAAGGTCAATGATGTTCATCTTCTGCAATTGCTGAAGTATGTGACGAGCAACAGCGCCACTGCTTTTACAGAAGTGGGGTGGGCGACTGCCATTCCTCCTGCTCCCTCCATAAATCCTGCGGAAGGCACCAACACCAAGACCGCCCCTCAAGTAGATTTTCCTTGCCATGGATGCTACAAAGAAAAATGATTTAAGATAAGCAGATGCACAGTATACAGTTTAATCAGAACAATAATTGTTGGAGTTTTTGTGTGTGTGCATATGTGGAAAAAGGGAGAGAGAAGTCTGCATACCAGATCTAATATAGTACCAATCAGGGTCATATGGAGCAAGCTCCTTGAATGTACCAGTCTTCACAATATCCGTCCAGTCAGGAAGCTCAATCTATTGGGAAGAACAAAAAAATACATGAGAAGAGAATCCACATTGAAAAGGAACATAGCAAGAAAAAGTAACTGCTAGAGAATGAGGAAAGAGGAACTTCCAAAAACAAAGGTTCATCAAACAAATGAAAGACACTAAATGATTGAAATGATCCACAGTCAACACCGGCAAAGACACATCTACATTCAAAGTCACTCGACTATTAGCACTTCTCTTTTTAATTTCAAAATAAAAACATCTACATTAAAAGATTATGAAAGAAAAAAACAAAAAACTTCTAGCAAAGAGTAGGTAAAAAATTGTAGCACCATCAACACCAATAACTAGGTTTTTTCATAAAGTTATAGCAACCATTACAAGTTCCCATAACGCACATTGTATGCCACCTATGTTCACTCAAAAACACTGAGAAACATAACATATTACAAGATGCTTAAAACAAGTGATATTCTTGAAACAGAGCTTTAAGGGACCAAAACAACACAAGGCAGATATGGCATCACAATTTAATACCCTCAGTCCACCAGCACCATTCGATAGAGAAAATGCCATATGCAGTTAAGTTCTTTTTTCTTTTTTGAGGAATTATCATCCAATAATTTGGTTTTCTCATTATAAGCCAAAATCAGTTTCCTCTATTAAAAAAAACTAAATCTTTAACAACTCAAGAAAAACCAAAATTGACCCATATAATAGATCCAATGAATCCCACCAACGCAGCCTCCCATTTCATTTTTTCCCCCACTAAATATAACACTCACTTCATCATCTTATTTTCACAAAATTGCTTTCCTAAGGGCATTGTCAACATGGGTCCTCCTGAAACCGAACACAAACTCTTTCCCTCTCACCCACCTAGACTAACTCCCAATCAAAATTAATATACAAACTATCAGAAATTTTTATGTTGCAGAACCAAAACTGAACCTAAAAGTTCGAATTATCTAAGCTTGCAATATCTGCATCCCTACATTATTACATACACGACTAATACTGACAAAATACGTATACAAATACATAAGGAGAAGGAGAGAGAGAGAGAGAGAGACTGACTTTGCCAGAGCGTTTCAGGTGAGCAGCGTAGGCCTTGACGAACACATGAGGGGACACGTCTTTTACTGTTCTTGCCGTCTCCATTTTCGGATTATGTAAAGCTTTGCTTCTTCCTCTACTTCTTCTGCTGCTTACTGCTGCGGCGGAGCTCACCTCCGAGTCTTCTGACTTGTGCGTATGAGAGGGGTGTAAGCAAGGTTTGGGATTAGGGTTTTATTTAGTTTGGGCTATGGAGCCTAAACCCGAAACTACATATTTACCCCTACCCCCATTTGTTATTTTCTCTCTCAGTTAGATTCATGGATTGGGCTTTTTCTTCTTCAAGTTTTCCATATTTGGGTCAAACAAATCAGTTTTGGCCTAAAGCTTGCAGATTTATTTTCTATATATTGTAGGCCCAAGCTCAAATAACAAAGATTTAAGAATACTTTATTATGTTTTTGGTCTATGTGGAGGTGAGCTTGATTTTGCCACATCACCCACTTAGATTCACGTCGTCAATTGTGATGGCGTTTTAGAATCACTATCCAAAAGTGCTTCTGGTCTATCTAGAATCACTTCTAAACGAGCCCTTAATGAAGGTGATGATAGTCAATGTGAAACACCATACCTTGATCACGGGCCAAATTGCAATTTGACTATGGTTTCAAAGTCACTGCTATAAATAAGCCTTTTTAATTTTTTGTTAAATTAACCAAATTCTTGACTGACTAGGTCTCTTAGGTTTTTTTTTTCAATATATATCGCATTGGAAAAACAGAGTCAAAAACTAAACACCACTCTAAGCTCAACATCTTCCAGGTATACACACATACACAAGAACGATAAACAACAAAAAGAGAAAAAAGGTGAATTGGGTTCTGTCTTTGTAATCAAAGAGTCCTACTAGGATTCAATTACCACCTATACATATATATATAAGTAAATTCAGCCTTGATTTACTTGAGTTGTTTTGCCAGCCATTTGCTTGATCATTTCTTCCAAGTGATCGATGATCAAACGGTCCACGATATATATACATGGAAGCAGAACATGGACAAGGAGCAATGATGAGCTCAGGCCAGCTGCCAGTGGGATTTAGGTTTATGCCAACAGATAAGGAGTTGATCACTCACTATCTAATGAACAAGGTGTTTCATAGGCCTGTGCCAGCTGCTGAGGCAATTCAGGACATTGATGCAACCCAATTCTACAGCACCCATCCGAAGAATTTAGGTAATAATTTTCTACCTTGTGAAGTTGTGATCATATATATATATATATATATGAGATTCATGAGTTATATGATATTATATGGATATGTATGTATGTATGTCTTTGTTTCAGGTAAACCCTGGCTAGCTGGGAGGAAGACGGTGAGTTGGTGATTTATCTTGATCCTGAAGCTATAAGCCTATTTTAGGTCACATGCAATGACATATAAAAAATGTACTTACAAATTTTAAGTGATTCTCGATGTAATATTAATATATTAATTGCATATGCAGTAACATTCTCCTGTGGAGAGAGAGAGTGGTTCTTCTTTATCCATGAAGACGACGAAAATTGCAGTGCAAGTGCCCAAGGAAGAAGAAATATTCGAGTAGTTGGAAATGGGGTAGGGTTTTGGAAACCAAATGGATCAGAAAACCCTATCCACAATGAAGATGGCAATGTCTATGCCTCCAAGATCTTTCTCACTTACTTTTCTGGAAGTCTCAGGAAAGCAAAGAAAACACATTGGAAAATGGTGGAATACCATTTGCACTCAGACTCTCACACGGAAGAAGAGTACCAAGGTAAAAAGAAAGTGAGAAATATTGAATCATTTGGCATAAGAGAAATGTGTTATGTGGCTATCGTCTTTCCATTTGTACCATTTTTACTGACCACTTCTTTAATGAAGGCGGCCCCACAAGAGTATGTGAGACACAATGTGTTTTAGTTTTGTAATTTTCTTTATTTAAAAGATTAGTTTTTACTAATTTAATCTCATAATATTAAATTGTGGTTTTTTTAGCAATTAAGTTAACTAAAATTATTTTCAGGGTTTTAAAAAATTTTACGTTTTGAGTCCTCTCCATTTATATATCTAATATAGCTGCCAATGCCATTTAGTTAACTCTATTAGTTTTGGACGCAGTGCAGAGAAGAGAATGGGTATTGGGCCAACTGAAAAGAGGAAATGCTTACAATGGTCTTTGAGGATTGAGGATTTGCAGAATTTTTTTAATTTTTTTTATTTTTTATTTCTTAATAATTTATTGTTTAAATAATACAGGCAGCCAAAAGCGAAGTACTTGATCTTTTATTCTTTAATTAAAATATATAGAAGTCTAATCTTCTATATATATTTTTTAGAGCTGCAATAAGCATTTTATGACTGTAAATGAGGACATGTATTTATATACCATTTATGCTTCATTGCTTCATGTGTTCAATGAAACGTTCCAAATTATTTGTAGAAGATCCTCCACTGATGCTCTCTTCCGCCATTTGTTTGAGCTTTGTTGCATTTACTTTTATACCTTCATCAGCAAGCAAACCATCCAATTTTTTTCTGATTTCATGCCTTGTAACAATCCCATAATCATCTGGGTTCAAGCACAAGCCAACTTTGTAACCATTACATATGCAACAGCAGTTGTAAAACTGATCTGCAAAATAAGGCCAACAGAGAAATGGAACCCCCATGCTTATGCCATCCATGGTTGAGTTCCAGCCACAATGGGTCAAGAAACAAGCAATAGCTGGGTGAGCCAGCACCTTTTCTTGAGGTGCCCAGTGAACCATCTTCCCATGGTTAGCCACTCTCTTTTCATACCCGTCTGGGAATTTGGCAGAAGAGCCATTGATGAGGTCTGATCGATTCACCCATAAGAACGGTTGACCGACAAGTTCAAGGCCTAATGCTAGTTCATCAATTTGGTGCTGGCTGAACATGGAGCTGCTGCCAAATGCAACATAAACAACTGATCCAACCGGTTGCCTGTTGAGCCAGCCCAAGCAAGTTGAGTCCTCTGGCCAAAAGTTCCCGGCAGGTTTTCCATTTGCAAGTAATGGACCAAGTGGAAACATGTTTGGGACTAAATCACCGACAGAGGGGTTGAGCTCCTGAAACCAGTTACACAGAAGCCAGTCACTTTTTTTCACATTCTGGTGAATGGCGAAGAAATGCTGGAACATGATCTTCTGCGTTGACTCGTTCCCGGGATAACTCCACACAATGTCAGCACTAGTCACAGGGGGCAGGTCTGATGATAGTTGAACCTTATTCCCCTTCATTGTTGGAGTTCCTACAAAAGTTCAATTTTGTAATTAGACAGATCATCAGTAGAAAAGATATAGATATAAAGATATGATATGTAGTTCAAACTAGACTAAGTATAAAGATCAACTAATTTGTATAGCTTTCATCTAAGACTTAGTTGCGTACCATTGGAGTCTATAACCCCAGCCTCAATAAGCTTTCGAATGTTGAGTGTCAAGGCCAAAACTCCTGGTGCAGATGGCCAGAAGAGTGCTGACTTAAGCTCCATCTTCTCCGCCATCTCCAAAGCCCAACCAAAAACTGCATCGGCTATGACACAGGTCACCTGATTACCCTCCAGGTTGGCCTTGTTTAACAAATTTTCCACATGACCAGGCATGACTTTGAATACACTCTCACCCAACTTACGTTCATCATTTCGCACATCTTCTTTGGGTAATCCATCAGGGACCGCGACAAGCCTGACCTGATCATACTGCTCACCATCCAATTCCGGATGTGCGGCCACCAGACGTGCATGTACAAACTCTGTTATCACAAGTGTGACCTTGATTCCACGACCAGCAAATAGGTATGCCAACTTTATGAATGGTGCAACATGCCCTTGCATAGGGTATGAAACAAGTAGCACATGGATAGAATTTTCTTGAACGTGTCTTTGTTCCATGTTTCTTATTTGTCTTTCCTCACACTTTCTGTATGGTTTTGTCTCAGATAGAAGTAAAAATAAAGCACAAGTAAAAGAGGCGAAGAAGAGACTATGAGCTCAAAATATGCAATAGCCCTTTATAAAGGGTAAATGGCATGCTTTCTCCACTGGTTTAGATATTTCAGTCATTCTTTTTTAGGAATATATATTAGTTTCTAAAGTAGCATTCAGCCATTTCCCGCGTTTGTTATGCAAAAATCCAACATCAGCTTTGCATGAAAGATTATAATATACTTGATAGTACTCATTCATCCTTGATGTAAGAATTTCTCTTCCAGATATTGTGAACAAAAAACCTATTTTGAAGGCTGAAATTCATGGGAACAGTATGTCATGTGAGGCCATAGACTGCCATAGTATTGAAATCTAATAAAAGAGAAAACTAATTTTACAGTACAATAATTATTGGCTATAACATCTTTTACTCATATTCATGACATGACACAAAAGAAGAGAACACAAAACATTCAGCACATAAACTATTTCCCATAACATAAACATTCAGCACCTTCCAGATTACTATAAGCACATTCAATAATGGAGGAGGAGGAGGAACTTACCACTCTCAGCTGTATGCTTTGAAAAAAAAAAAAAAGCATCCCAAAATATAAGGATCATGATTTCAAATATATTATGTTCGATGATATAGCCCAAAGTATGATGAAATTGATCGAAAAAATGTGCACATTAACCCAACCAATAGACTGGTTTGATGAATGTGCAGCAACAATCATTCCCATTACAATGAAATACAATCCCCAAACAATTGTATCATAAAGTGCCAGTTAATTTGACATGGTAGGGCTATAAGCCTCTACATAGCCCATCTCTTTGAGTTTAAAAGGAGCACTAGCATGAGAAAACACCAAAAGACAGATGAACTGCAGACTAGGAAAAAATTAAAAACTTCAATAGAATTGATATAAGAAGCACATTAGTTTGCCTTCATATTGGTCCATCAAACTTCAACAACAGTTTGCATCTAGAAAAACAAAATCATAACCAGATAAAGAAAAACCGCTTAGTATTACATCTAAACTCTTTCGTCCAAGGAGTTTCAACTTTTTTGTGTGCCCGGACGAGCAGGTCCAAAGTAGTTGGTTACCAATCCCATAATAGCAAACCTGTTATTGAGACAAAAGACAGAAAAGGGAAGGCTTCAGAATAGAACAGATGACAAAATTTACAATCCCATCACATTCATTCAAGAAGAATGAAATAAACCCATAAATTATGGTGAATACAAATAGCATTTGAGCGTAACAGACTCACTATTTTCAGCTAAAGCTGAGATTTTTAATTTTGAATCTCATAGAAAAACAACAGTTCTTCAGAAACTATTGTTGCGTAGCTTTGATAAATTAATAAATTACACAGAAAATACATGAGACATTTAAGTAAATAAGCAAAAAGAAAAAAAAGAGAGTGAAAACATAGATGAGAGAATTAGGAGAAAGAGTTGAACTGACATCATGGCCATGGAGATCTGTTTGATGTCGTTTTCAAGGTTCTTCATGTTGACCAGTGACTGAGCACAGAATATGATGGCAAGCCACGAGCACAGCTTATACTGAAGCAAGCATATTCAATATTCTAAATTCAATTTAAAATAACCAAAATGAATTAAAGAGAGTGAGGGAAGGGGAGAGAGAGAGAGAGAGAGAGTACGGACGCGAAACATGACGCCGGCGATACCGAAGACGACGGCGATCAAACCGGAGTAGTCCACTGGAAGATCTTGCGGTGCCAACGCTGACGGCACGTAGCGCTTCACCGCCGATGGCTGACGCGGATCGTTGGCCGTCGATGACATCTCTCCTCCTCTAATGATCGAATCTGCTCTGGCTTTATTTTTTTGGTACCAGTTTTTGAGACGTTTTGGATGTGGAAAGATCTCAACGAGAAAATTTGACATATCGGGCAAGAGTCGAAATGAAATTAAAATAGAAATAGTCAATACTACCCTCAATGCTCTTTGGAATGTGTTAGGATAGAAACGACATTCTCTCAATTCTTCGAAATTAAATTGACCCATATGCGTACCAATTGTTGAAACTCTTGTTAACAATGTGGCTTTCTAGTTTGATTAGAATTAGAATTTGAATGATTTTTCCTTTATCTACATCTGTAAATCTCAACTGGATTAAACCCACTTTAATTTTGGGCTTCAGTTCTTTAAACCATTTGTCAACATCAACACAAGCAAAAGCAGCGACCGTCTAAATATTTTGCATCAAAATACTCTTCTATATGCAAAGAGATAATGCGAAGACTGGAACAGACTCATCTTATGAACAATCTCAGAAAATGTGGCAGAGAAGCTTCTTCAGATGCTTATATCGGAACTGAATTTGAAACCAGCCGCAAATTTATATTGCACATCCGGCAAACAAAAGGAAAATATATATATATATATATATATATCCCAAAATCCGTGGCGGATGCAAGATTTTTACTCCGTAACCGTAGGGTCAACGTGTAAAAGTTTCTATATTTTTTTTTAGACAAAAATTACTCCAAATTAAAAATGGTAACACTTTCATTCAAATTAATGGTAAAACACAAACCCCCTTTCAGTACACATATTCATGTATTCTACGACTTTAATTGGCTCATGAATATGTTCCTATTTTTGCATCTGTTAAACTTTTAATTTTGAACCCAGATTGGGTTTAACACACAGGTTTACTGACATGGAAAACCATGACGATCAAGGGTGCAACTACAATTTATTTCTTGTTGATAAACCAAATGCAGCTAATCAAATTGACAAAAGTGATCAAAATTCGATTACTTTGGCTGGGTTGTCAATTCAACTTAGCAACCAATATGGCCTTCATAGGCTAGAATGCAAGTCAAACAGCATGTCCAAGCTCGTTTAAGCACCAAAAATAAAATTGGGTTCCGCTTTGATTCTAATGATAGACAAGTCGGCAGGCCAGGCGTTTAAAAAACAAAAAGGAAGCCAGCGCGCGCAGCTGGGCTAAAAGCACCGCACAGACAGCAGCAACTGGTTGGGTCATTTTGTCGAGCATTTGGTGGGCACCTCAGGGTCGCCCACCAACATCACAAGGGGTCATCAGCGGAGATTCTCAGGGAGTTTTCCGGCGTCCATGGGGTCAAGCGACCCCATTTGTCCCTCTGTGGGTCCGCCCCTGCTTACAATACACACAGTTCCCTCCAGAGGCCTCTCTCAGGTTTCAACATTGTGCAATAACAAATGTGTAACACGTAACTACTAGAACAAGATGAAGAAACAGGATCTAGTATCAACTCGGCAAACAAGATACATTGCCCACAGTATTTTTCAAAAATGATGCACAAAGGCACCCCTAAATTTTCAGGAGAATATTCTGAAATCTAAAAGTGCTGCAACACATGAAGGACAAAGGAAGCAAAACTTCTAGTGAAAGAAAAAAGTTCAGACCATATATTCAAATGGTTATGTAATAACAAGCTGGCTCACCCTCGAAAGTAAAATGAAAGCAGAAACGTACATATTATATACACTGCTTATCTAACATACTAATAAAGAGTTAACCACTGTTTCAAACTTGGTTATGGAGTTCCAATCCCACTGATTAGATGTTAACCAGACATCATTTATTCTTTTCGCTCTGAAACTAGTGGCACACAAGAAGCGCGATAAAGCAGGCAGCATATTATGGACTACCCTATCTTTTATGCCTGCTGTAGAAGTCATGGTAAATCAAGTAGGGATACCAAGGGGAACCTAAAACAAATCGAAGAGGGATTCCAACATCACCAAAACCAGGCCACTTCATAAACCACCCAGAAGAATAAATCCCCATTGACTTTTGCACAACTGAACCGAAATCCAGATAAAATTTCTCTTACTTCTTTAAAAACTTAAACAAGTCACCAAATAACTAATTAACTAACATTCTTTAGGGCCAACCTCTTAATTCTTGCTTTTACCCAAAAAGTATTCTTAATTTTAGAAATAAGATTGAAAATTTCAGAACTTAAGACCATAGAGAGTCCCTCTTCTCATAATTCTTAGTTGGTCCAAAATCAAGGTAAAACCTCAATCGATGAATTTCCCATGCTTAGGATTGCGAACAAGAACACATGATTACTTGAATTACAGAAGTGTGTACAATTTTGAGTAATGGGACTGCGCTTCTATCCTCCCCCTTTAGCTAAAAAATGATGGGGCATCGCAGTTCCTTTCTAGACTTTCACAGTATACATAGACCACCTTATATTTTTCAAAATTGACATCAATGGTCCATAGCGCAAAGAACTAAAAGTCTCCGTTGCTTATGAAGGAGACAATCTAGAATTCATTCTTCTCCTATATTCCCATTTGTGAAACTGCTGTTCTGAAGCATGTCCCATTAGATAGGTTGAAAGATAATGAACCAGCCAATCAAAAGGAATGTGGAGGCAAATGGCCGAGAGAGGGAAAAAGAATCAATTAATGATCAAAGTGAAAGACATTGTACCCTGTCTGGCAGATTTCTAGGCACTGGAAGTGCAGTAACATATCTCTGGGGGCAGGTTTTTTGAGCATTTGTAAGAGCATCAGAGGATGGTGAGGCCTCAGCCGCATCACCTTGTGCTCGCCCGTGGAACTTAGCAAAACGATTGATGACAGAAAACTTCTCCAGATCCTGGCTTTCCACTCTCAAGTCTAAGATTGAAGTTCTTTTGTCCAGTCTGCATCAGCGGAAGGAAGCATTACACTAGAGAAAGAAAGAAAAAGAGAGGGGCCACATACATAATAACCACAGGATGCTGATAAATAGTAGGCATCTATTATGTAAAGTGAAATCAACAAAATTGTGAAAACTATTAAGCAGAAACAGTGATATGAAGGAATATTGAGGTCATGGAGGCTACCTCAACAAATCATTTTCTAGCTTCCTTGCTTTATCAACAAAGTCTTCCGCAACTTTTGAGTATTGATGACCGATTTTCTCAGTTGTTTTAGGCTTCTCGGGCAAACTATAAATATTTTGAAAGACTTTAAAGTTAGCATGCACTGAATAAGGCAAAATCTGTAAACCATTAACTCATTGCCTTATTGGGAAAATTTAAATAATTTCCACACAACTCTTACAGGTCAACACTGTCAGGAGGCAATGGAGTTTGAGAACCACTGCCAGAGCAGGAGATTGCACTGCAAGCATCGCCTAGTGCTAATCTGGACACAAAGTAAGCCACACTCTCATAGCATGAGCTAGCATCTGCAAAAAGAACTGCTGCAGGAGGGCGAAGCAGTTGTTGCATAAGCTGTGTTGTCAAGACTAGCCTTCTTTTGGGCCTAAGCATTGGCAGTCTATCTTCAATTATTTCAGTTTCATCTTCGACCTGTCAACCCAATATGAAGCAATTAGAAATTAGAACTCTCCAAAAGAGCTACAGAACATCAGAGCTTAATCGTGAGCTTAGTGGTTGAGCCAGAAGCGAACCTTCTCAACCAGTCGGTTTGTTGATCGAGCCCAGTCTGTTTCCACTGCACTGCAAGTATTATAAACCTTCCAAATGTTAAAAAATCATGAAAGAAACACAAAATATTTCTCTGCTTAAAATAGAGATAACTAAGAACCAAAAATGAAAGGAGCATCTATAGTAATTGAGCAAGTGTCAAGCAAACTACCTGATATTCAGAAGCCTTTGGGAAAGCTTCGTCAGCTCTTTATGCCAAGGTGAAAGTTCAGATGTAGCACTTTTGCGCTTCTTTGGTCTTGCAACAATTAAACTTTCATCAGTTACATCAGAACGCGCGACACAAGGGGAAGGTAATTGCTCACTGGGAATAGGTACAGGAACTGAACTCTGCGGGATGGTAACAAGCTTACTAGCATCAGAAGTAGCACTAGCTTGCTCCATTGATTCCCGAGTGTGCATATCATCACCTGGCTTTCCAGTAACAGAATGTTTTTCCAGAGACTTCATAGTGGTTCTCAGTGTATCATGCATTGGAAATATTTGCCCATTTTTAAAGGTTCCATACTGATCAAACCAGGATGGTGCCATCTGGGGGCTAACATGAGACTGTTCACCTCTAAAAAACGATGCATTACTACTACTAGAGAAATTCTGAGAATCTTTCCGACTAAATGTGAACGTATCATGACAAGATGCATTTGAATTTCGAGTATCCCCAAGCTTGGATGAAAAGCTAAGCATGTTAGAATCTCCAGAGGGAACTGACATGTTATCAGCTGATGAATTCCTTTCCATATTATTATATCCATAAGATAATTGTGATCCTCCCTGGGCATCCACCTGCTGAGTCTCCACACCAGAATCTGGACCTTTCAATCTCTTCACACTCCGATCATTTCCATCAACCTCCGTACTTTTCATAGCCTGCGCTTGGTCCAGCAAGGAATAACCTTGATGCAAACTGTTATTTGGCCTTAAAGAGCGGCCAAAAGCTTCAATATCTCTCTGAGTAGCAACAGAGCTTGAAACAGATGCCTCAAAAAAATTATTTGTAATGGATTCTTTTCCCTGTGACAAATTGATCTTTTGCGCACTCTGAATGTTCTCAGGTGATACTTGTTGCCCAGTACTTTGTTTGGATGGTTGCTCTTTCACAGCAACACTTTGCATGCTAGAAGAATATGCACCAAAGGCAGACATGCCATTCCCTCGTTCTCGGGTATCTTGCTCATTGAGCTTTGGTGATTCAGGGAAAGTTGTTACCACCTTGTTATTTGTTTGAAGTTGGGATTTGAATAAATGCGAAGCAACGTTGGAAGGTTCAGCACTTACTAAGGGTTGCTGAAATGGAACACTGGTCCATACGTTAGTCAAATCTTTAGAAACAGCACCTTGATGGGGCATACCAGATGTAACACAAGGCTCAGAGTCTGGCACCGCATCTGGTTTCGGGATTTTTGGGGCAACAACTCTTGAACGGGATTGGTCAGTAATATTCAGATGGGATGCCTCTGCAGAGGCAAGGTTA